TAGATAAGATCATTAAAATTTATCTACTAAACATCATTAGAAAATATCTAATGATGTTTATGAGACACTCTTTTTTTAGATGCATGTGAAAACGACTTGAAAACGGAGTAAAATCGTCGGTTAGAAAAATAATCGTTTACAGTCTTATACAAGTCGTTCTATCCGACTTGAGGCACAAACAAATCATAAAAACTTGAATTTAATAGTTAAAGTAGAAGATTCTCTTATATTATAATAATCAATTTAGAGAAAGCAAAAGTGAACGATATATAAGATGGTCTAATCCTTCACTCGTCGGAATTTATCTCCTTTCTATATGTAATATTAATAGATGAATTTTTCTACAAGAGACTTTAGTTAGATCGTAAACTTGGGAAAAAATAAAAAAAACTCTAGTATTTATTACTGCTGAAATATTAGCGAAATATCCAATGTTGCAATCATTTTGCGACACGTGATACATGAAAGTTTCAAATATTTCTAATGAGCCGTTACTTATAAATTCTTGAAAGAAGAGGCTCTTCTTAAGAATTGTTGAAAGACAAAAAATAATTTTAGTTATATCTGTAGTCGTATCAATATGTGATGTTTTTCATAGTAAAGGATTAATCTAATTGAAATAAAAAAATGTAATTATATTCATAATCATCTCTATCAAATCGTATGTAAATCAATGAAAAAATAAAATCTACTGCAATTTTGCATTAGATGCACTTTATACAGTGATATTTTTCTTTCAGTTGTTATTGCTACAAATGAAGATCAAATAGACGAAGATGTCAATCGAAATAAACTAAAAGCAAATTTTCATCGACTTCAAGCACAATTATTAACACAAATGGAAAAAGTCAGACCACATATAAAAACATATACTTGTTATAATCAATTACCACATGATACATTTCCTGGAGTACAACATTATTTTAATAATATATTTCATAAATTACCATCTTTACAAAAACAATCATTTAATAAAGATAAAAGAATTATATCTTCCAAAAACATTCATGAAGAATCTGATGATGATAATGTGATTTATGTCTAATAATAAAAAATAAAATAAAATCTATATAATTATATACATATATTTTTTTTTTCAATGTATGAATAAAAAAATGATCATTTTCGAAAACAGAAAAAAAAACTGATTCATCAATTGTTAATCTCCTATAAGGTCAAGATTAATCTCTTTTGGTATTGTGTTATTACTTTTTTTTGTAATATAGAATAGAACATAGGTCGTATTGAGAATAACAACAACAAAAAAAAACAATAATCATGCAACAACAAGAACCTTCTGGGATCATACAGTATTTACAGAAAATTCAGCGTAAGTCTTTGTATCGATATATATCAATTGGTCTTAGTAGTTTGAGTGCTTTATTGATCATTGCTGCATTAATTTCTTTAATTATTATTTATTTTATTCATCATCGAAATAATACAATATCATCTATTTTATCTTATCCTAATGTTATATGTAAACAACATTCATGTGGTTGTCCAAATTCTAATAATACAACATTATTTATACCTAAAATAGTCGGTGGTGAACCAGCATCACCTTATATATATCCATGGCTTGTTTCATTAACTGAACGAAATCGAATAGATCCATTTTGTGCTGGATTTATAATATCTTCAAATATAATTCTTACAGCTGCACATTGTTTAAATAATCGAAAATATAATCGAATACAAATATTATCAAAAATTCATGATTTACGAGAATTTAAAGGTGATCGACATGATATTGATAAATGGATAATTCATTCAGAATATAAAGTTAATGATAGTAGGCATCTCAATGATATTGCACTTATTAAAATAAAAAAAACATTTGCAAAAGATCTTCAACCTTGTTGTCTACCAAAAAAAAAGTCTAATAATTATCCACGAGCTAAAACACAAGCAATTATAAGTGGTTGGGGAAAAACTATATCAAAACCAAATAGTCAAAATTCTCCAATTCTTCAACATGTTGTTATACCTATTGTTGATCATAAAAATATGAAATGTAAACAATCTATAGCTGATAAATCTCGACAATTATGTGCTGGTTATGATAGTCTTTCGATTGATGCATGTTCAGGTGATAGTGGAGCTCCATTAATTGTTATTGAACATGATGATAATCAAGAATATTTTGTTGCTGCAGGTATTGTAAGTTATGGTAATAAACAATGTGATGCATCAATATCGCCGGGTATTTATACACGTATTAGCTTTTATCTTGAATGGATTCAAAAAGGTTTAATACATTTATAAATAAAATTATCTAAAAAAATATTTTTAAATTATGATATAAATAAATATGTTTTTCTTTTAATCATCTTTTCAATCATTGACGAAAAAGTGAAATATCGAAATTCTATTTTTATTATTATGTTTTTGAAATAACAAATAATATTTAACAATGATTATAAGGTGTGAGAAAAGGGTTGCATATAACTCTGTTCAAACATATCATAAAACATTGATCTTTTATTTCTCAAAAGATGCATCATTGAATGTTCTACTCGAATCATAATTGTAATGGATTGTTAATAGGAAATATATATGTCATCGTGCTATTTCTCACAAAGAAAATTCGGCAAAGTTATTCAAAAGAAGGTTGATGGATGTTTTTAAAATAACTTTGGATAGAAACAAAATTTTCCGAATTGCTTTAATCAAATTCATCAAAGTATCGAAAAAATCTTGTTTCTATCAAAAGTCATTTGAAAAAAGAGCATTAGTGAGTGATAGAAAAGTCTAGATTGATTTGGTTTTCTGAATTTTCATTCTTAAAATATTAAAATTTTATTAGATTTTTTCAGCAAAAAATTCATTTCTAGTATCTCGTATCCTGAAATATGAAAAATTCGAAATTCTCTTATGTATAAAATCAATATTTGTACATGTCCAAAAAACGAAATAGTAGAAACATTAACACTTGCACGGTCAATTAATCTCATTAGGACTTTTATTCGTGCAAAGTTTGAAGTCAAAACTCGAAAGTCGATTCTCTACAATGTCTAAGGATTTTATTTAAAAACTTACTAAAATTTCGATATCTGAAAAACGAAGAGTGTGGAACACCATACCATTGTAGATTTCTTTATTACTAATCAAATCAATATTGGATAACATCGACTATCCTCAGCATTGAAAAAAAAACTACAACGTTCATCACTTCACCAATACTTCCTATGAAATCATTACTGATTTCTTCTCAACATATTTTCATCGACTTCAGTTGAAACTGAAAGTTCATTTAATGATCAAAGAAGTTTAATCTAGCGATTTTTGCATCTAAATTACTACTTTTAATCCATATATTTGAAGGTAACATAGCAAAAAAAAATGTTCTATTTCAGAATGAAGCATCTAAATTAGTTGATCCCACCGTTATTATTCACTTGTGTTTAGACTTATCAACATTTTAAAAATAGATATAAAGATTTGCTCTTATGATTCGAAGAGAACATATAATGGTGCATCTTTTTGAAAAAGAAACATCAAGGTTTTATCATTTTCTTGAACGAAGTTCACATACAAAACAAAAAGAAAATTAACAAAAAATATCTCTTTTTGTTCGTTCTCTGAGTATTAACTAAAATGTGCTGCAATGACACATTTATTTTTATCAAGATATTATTTACTAATAAATTTTGAAGATGTAAATTTGAATATAGTTTATAATTAGTTTTGACTTTGTCCAACGATATCGAACATCTAATTCAAATTCAAATAATAATTGGAATAAGTAATAAAATATTCTATCAAATCTGTTGCCACGAGAAAATGTCATAGATAAGTTATAGAAATAAAATTTTTGAAAAGAAATGAAAATGATGACCTTCAATGCAATGAGAAGTCACTGCATTGATTATGATTGTATCATAGAAACGAAAAACATCTTTCTTTTTAGTCAACTTTTAGGAGTTCTTTAATAAAATTTGCTTTTTTTCGTGAATCGCAATGCTTGTAACTCTTTAACAGAATGCCTTGAAAAACACAATAACCTGGCATATTATAAAGAATTTTGTGGTCTTCAAGATAATACTATTCAAAAAGAATATTCTAGGACTTGAAAATCATCGTTTTCATTTTATCAGAAACTTTCTTCCCCGTAATTCATTTATACAATTTTTTTTTTTATTTAATGCATTTGATAAAGAAACTTATTGCCTATTCGCACCATTAATAGAATTCACGTTAGATGTTTGCCGTTGAAAGAACAAACAATAAACCTCTTCTTCTTCTAATTTCGATCTACACTGTATTGCTACCAATTGTTACAAAAAAAAATGGGAAAAATAATTGTTTAAATCATAGTATTAAGTAATGTTATTTCATTATATTTAATATTGTCTTCTTTAATCTCATTAGACTAATACAAAATATGTTAAGTGAAAAATCTCTCGCAGTATATAGTTGTATTTCAAGGATATTGATAGCTACAGAAACGATTTGTTTTGTTGCTATTCGCACCTTTTTTCTCATTTTCGTATTACTTCTTTTTTTTTTATTTAACATTATTATTATTCCGAACCATGATTTTACAAGCATAAATTTTTATCTGCGTAAATAATAAAAAACTACAGTATTCAGAGATCATTCAAATTTCAAAGATAACTGTGGCATGTTCTAGGACAGGCTAAGTCTTGTCATAAATGCCATCCAACGACCTTTGTTTTCAGTTGCTATGAAAATATAATCAATGTTAAGATCTCTATTGGAGAGAACTTCGATTAAAAATATGATTTTCTTCAATAAATTTTATTTTTTCGTGAACTAAGAACATTCTATAGATAGAAACAATATATATATATAATTAATGAGTAAACAAAGGGAAACACGATATTACTGTTATGATGAATTCAATAGTCTTAATAAAAACTAATGGCGTGATCAATTAAATATGATCTATTCTTTGTGACAGAGAAAAATAAAAAATTCATTGCATGTATGGTTATCAGAACAATAATTTTATCATATTTGATTATTTATCTTTTGTTTGATAATTGAAATAAGTAAAACAATTTTATTAATTATGTTTAAAAATAAATTTAATGTTCACAAGAAGAAGAAGAAGAAGAAGAAATTTTGCGTGTTTTGTTTTTTTCATAGAAAAATAAATCTATAATTTATCTATCAGATAGAATGCATAATTTGAAGAAGATACAAGATGAAAAATAAACAAAAGATTTTCTATATGAGTAAACGGAAGAAAAGAAAATCTGACAAAAAAAAATTGTCATTTTATATATTTGTTTATTGATAATTTTTCTTTTTTTCCCTATAAATTAATTTTCAGTATTTTCCATAGCATATTCTTTTATTTTAGCTTCATATTTTATACGTAAAATATTTTTCAATTCTTCCGTATCACCCATTGGTTTTGTATGACCAGTACTCATTATCCATGGATGAAGTAGAATTTCATCAGCACGCAGTCGTTTTTGTTGATCGACAACTAATAAATGATTGATTAAATCTTTTGCACCTAGAATTTAATAAAACAAAAACAACAACAACAAATCTTCAAATTTTGAATAAAAGATATTTCAAGCTTCATACTTTGAGAAATCGGATCCCAATATTCAGGATCATAAGTAAATTTACCACGTTGGATCATTTGAAATAATTCTTCTTGATTACGATCAACTGTTTTAAATGGTGGATAACCACATAGAAGTATATATAAAATAATACCAGTTGCCCAACAATCAACTTCTATACCATAACCTAATCATAATTATAAAATATGATTATTTTTAAGTTGTTTTTTTTTGTCTCTATAAAATTATTTTATACCTGTTTCTGCAAGAATTTCCGGTGCAACATAACTAAAAGAATAATAAATATATATATTTTAATCTGTTCTTTTCCTCTGATTTGTATAGTTATTATGCCTTACAAAATTTGTTCCCTTGAACTACAAGAGATATAGAAACTAAATAAATATCAACTAATGCCTTATTTATTTAGGGTTCTAAGTATTTAACTATATCTATCAAAAAGTAATTAAAATTAGTGTCTTTCTCTTATCCTTTAGATCAGAAAAAAAAGTTATCAAACATCAAAGTATTCAGTAAACAATATGTTGATTTGAACTATTAAAATAAAAACTCATCGATTACTGGTTGGTTTCTTCAACGTTTTTAGTACATGTCAGATTTCGGAAAGGCTTTTGAATAGACATGTAATAGTTAACAGTTCTATAAACTAATTCTTTTCACATAAGTTGTATTATTAAACATCTGATTTCCATCCTAACCTTTCCACACACTCGTGCAGCTTAGTCACATGATCCGAAAAAGATTAAATTCGATGTTACGTGACATTAAATTTTTTTCCAAAAACGAAACCGGTAATCTGAACCAATTCCATACCTCAATTGAGACTGTCACACGTCTATAAGTGAATCTTGGCATGTGTCAGGAAAAATAGTCCTATTAAATGCTGTCTAGCGACACTTCCAAGAGCATGACAGCTTCCATACAACTATGACTAGTTGTAGTTCTGGACAGAAGGCAAGTTTGACTCAGGACTAGTAACTTGCTCCAGGTCAGTTATTCCATGGCTGGTGGTACTAAGTTTTGCACATACTACCTTGTGGATACATGTCGAATAACGTAGCAATTCAGCTATGGCGAGTAAATCCAGTCCGTAATGGCCACGTTGTTCGACACATATTCAGAAAGTACTTGCTCAAACTTCGGTATCACCAGCCCTACAATGATTTTGGACAAGTCTCTAATGATTGTTTGTCTCGGATAAGTTGCTCGATACCAATCTACCTGTATTGGGACATGCTCATACCCTTCTTCATCTTTCACTACAAGTCCGACTATACATTTCTTTTATGTTAATTCTATCATGATCAAATTAAGTATTATTTAGTCAATAAATTATCTTACGTTGGTGTTCCACAAACAGTCTTAATTGGTCCCGTAACATGCATAGCTAAACCAAAATCAGTTAATTTAATTGTAATTCGTCCATCTTTTTTTTGCATAACTAATAGATTTTCTGGTTTTAAATCTCTATGAACAATCTTTTTTGTATGTAAATATAAAAGTGCTTCGGAAACATCTTTAATCATTAATGCTGATGTTGCTTCATCAAAACGACGATGTCTTGTAATATAATCAAATAGATCACCACCTTTAATTAATTCCATAATAAGATATATTTCATCAGCTGTTTCATAATCTTCAAATAAACGTATTATATTTGGATGATTACATAAATACATAATATTTATTTCATGATCAAGCATATATTCTTTTCCCTATTAAACAAAAAAAAAGAATCGAATTATTGTCTTTTTCTTTTTTGTATTTTGTTCGTTTTACCTTCATTTTTGATTTATCAATTACTTTAATTGCAAATTCTCGTTCACCTCCACGTAATTTTGACCGACGTACAATAGCAAAATTTCCATCACCCATTTTTTTACCAAAATCATATTTATCAGTAATAACTGCTGGAGATGAATGCTTGAGAAAAAAGAATTTTTTTTTTTTTGTTTTGGACATTTAAAATGAACGAAAAAAACTTACTATAACTGATGATCGTTTTTTAATTACATGTTTCTTTTGTATTGGTACTGACTCTTTGATTTCATTTTCATCATGATGACTTGTTACACTCAAACGTGGTAATGGAGCAATCGATAAAGGTTTATTTATAACTAAAAAAAAAGAAATATATCCAAATGAGAAAAAAAAAAATCTTTTTTTTTGTATTTATACCTAATATTGGAGTTTTTATTTTATTTGAATGAGATAAATCATTATTATTGATATCAAGTATTAATGGCTCAAATTTAGGTATAGTGAAAATGGATACTGATTGTTGTTGATCTTTTTTTATTGGTAATTTTTTTCGACGTTCATCTTCTTCACGTAGACGTTGTCGTTCACGTTCACGTTGTTGTTCAATATTAATGGTAGAAACTGTTGGTTTTAAAACTTCTATAGACAAAAGAAAAAAAAAGAATTTTTGAAAAAAAACAAAACATTAAAATTGTTTATTTCTTTTTATTACTCTTTAATTTTCGATTGATAAGATCATAAGGTGTAGGTGCATCTTGAGAGTTTATTTCATTTTGTTTATTATTATTTGTTTGTCGAAATGATGGGAAATCATTATCTTTACTAGATAGACCATCTTCATCATCTAAAAATCCACTATCACGTACGTTAATTGTCTTTTTTATATCAACAGAGACAAGTCCTGGTGTAAGTAATTGTGTATTTGATGAATCACGATCAATTGGTGATTGAACAACTTTTTTAAATTGAATTCGTCGTGATGTTGCTTGTTGAGAATCATTACCTATTTCAAGATTTATTTCTTGTAATTCTTCGGATGAAATATCATTAGTAGCTGTTGCAGCAATAAATATATCATCTATAACAAACAATAATAACTTTTTTTTTTTTCGAAAGAAAAAAGAGAAAATTTATGAGATACCTTCACGAAAAAAATCATTGATTCCATTGATGTGTCGTCCTCTTAAATTATATAACCGTTTGATCTATTCAAAAAAAAATTTATTTCATATAAAAATTTACTTAAAAATGAAATCTTACTTTCTCTGAACGATTTTTTTGATGTCCAAATGCTTCTGAAATATCTGATAAAAGTTGATCGAATGTTTGACCTGTACGTTTATTAAGTAAAATAGTTATAGTTTTATGTGGTTTTTCATTTCCTTGTTTAATAATAGTTATTGGACGTGGTTTACTATGAAATGATTCTAAGCCATATTTATTTTGTTTTAAATTAAGCTTCTTTTGTTGTTGTTGTTGAATAGAATTAGAAGTTGAAGATGTCAGTGATTGTAAAAAAATATTATTTGTATGAAAACGATTTGCTGCATTTGAAGGTATTGCTGGACCATTAATAGCACCTACTTTTGAAAGTGGAATTGATGGTAAATGACGTACACTTACACGATTTGATGATGGATACTCATGTAAAGGTTGACGAACTAAAAGTATAAAATGAAAACAAAAAAATAAAATAAATGATCTTTTCCTTTTTTTTTTCTTTTGTTCAGTTTTCAGTAAAAAAAATATTCCTGATATGAAATATGAATATTTAATTATGTTTGGCACTTATTTATTTATCACTTGTTTCCTTGACAATAAAAATAATAAAATATATATAAAATCTACCTGTCATATCGATTTATTGTATCTATGTAAAATTTTGTAAATGAAATATTCGATTCATAAATGACGATATTTTAAAGTGTTTTTCTAATACTTAAATGTTTTCTTTCTTTTGCTTACTTAATTTACTGGGCCATTCAAGTGATTGATATACATTGAAGTTGAATACTTTGGGCGTTAAGAACATATCGATAAGTATAAAAGTAAGTGATAATCAAATTCAAGAGCAATACTTCATTTGTTTTTTGTTGTTCTGCCTAACAACTGCTCTCTTCCTTTTATTCGTGACGATATTGTTCTCTGTTTTTTTTCTTTTTCTCCTTCTTTGCCTTATTTTTTATTATAATCTCGTTCCTAGCGAAAAAAAAAAGAATATTTAGTGAGTTCTCGTTACTGTATTTATTAGTTAATAATAATCATTCAAACAATGTATTCTTTCTATCCTCGTCGAGCAATAGTAGATCATTCGACAGGCGAGTTTATTTCGAATTTCTTTCTATTGTTGTGTCTCTAAGAAATAGAAGAAGAAAAAAGAAAATGAGGAAAAAAAAAACGTAAATCAGTTTACAGAGTCGATAAATTTCTAATTACTGTTTTTCTTCTTTTTTTTTTCTCATTTTCTTTTTTTTTTGTTGTCTTTGTTGACTTTGTAATATATAATCGTAATAGTAATTAAAAAATGTAAGTTGATGAAGAAGAGAACATAGGCATACGTCGATACAAAAAGAAGTCCTTCTTATGTATATATAAAAAATATTCTAATCGAAATGAGAGTAGCAACGAAATCGAAAAAAAAAAATATTCGAGAATAGAATTATTTCTTTTAATCTACATTGATGAATAAAAATTGAGCATTATCCAGCAACAAAGAAAAAGAAAAGCAAATATAACATGACCTACTCATTACACACAAGAAAAAAAGACAATGTAAACTTACGTTGTTCAATATGGAATGCTGTATAAGGTACATAATTAGTTACATATTCTAATTTTTGAAATGGTTCAAATGCTGCACAAACATATGAAGCACCATCTTTCAAACTATTAACATTAGTAATTTCTGAGCCATTTTGTGGTGTAAATAAACGTCGTACACCATATGGTAAATCAATAGTATTTGATAATTCTTGTAATAATTGTCGAAATTTTGTATAGTTTTGTGGTGTTATACTTATTTGTTTACCAGCAGAATAACGATCACCATTGCGATATAATATTATTTTACGTTGTGTTATTCGAGGTGATCTATCATTTGTTAATCGTGCTAGTGGTCGACGAATATTTTTTCGATATTGATGTTTTGAATGTGAAAATTCTGGCATCATACTACGTAGCCATAGATTGTGTGATGAAACAACATCCGTCATTTATCAACATTCAAGGAAAAAGCACAATCAAAAAGAAAAGATATTACACAGAACAACACTAGTTTTATTGATTTATTTAGAAGTGATAATTTTAATATGCAAACAGGCGACGAAGTCTTATTTAATAGAATAAAAAGTCAACACTTAAAAGTACTATGATTTTCCATTGAATTGTCATGACAATACCATTAAGTAATCGCTTATAAAAACAATTAATTCAAGAGTGGAATAAGTGACAAAGACGACGATATCTAGCGTCATCTTTTGTTTTGTTGTGCTTCATAAATATAGAAAATTCTTTGCTTATAATTTAGCATCGATTTACTTTATGTGAGTAGTATTAATCAAAAAACGTTTCTCTCTTAACAATTCACGAGTAAATATTGATACACAAACTTTTTTATGACTTTCTTTTTATCATGATTCATCATTGAAAAAATTAAGTAAATCGATTATCGAAGTTAAAAAAATATAGGATCAAACATTGAATGAACATAAAAAATGCGTCGTCCTCAATAATTGACAACCTCTATCCGAGTACTTGTATCTCGTTCTTTTCTTCGAGCTATGTTTTTTGTCGATAAAAAGAGCATATATTCGAGATGACAAAGTACTAATAATAAGATCTATATTACTTCCTCAATTGATGACATGCAAGAAAAGAGTAGTGGCGGATTTAGAGGAAAAGCGTGGAGAAGATAATCGTGCCTGTTCAAAAGATTTGCTTCGATTTTTCTGAACGGAAAAGACTTTAAAATGAGCTAATACTACTTCTAATGAACTTCAAGAGACACTTTAGGAATATAATCATTTCCTTCTTCTTCGAAGCACGGTCTAATATAAAAATTCTAAATCTGTCAACGAAGGCTCTGTACTAATTGCGGTCGAAAATCCTTTGCCTCGTTTTATTCCATTTCCAAAATGTAGAATAGAAGTTTAATTTAACGGTAGGATTTTAAAAGACCGCAAGAAAAAATGTCGAATCCAAAAAAAAGTTTTGCATCTAGTAAACGTTGTCTTAAGACTTGAATAGTTTATCACTGCCTTTCTCATTATTCTGTCAATGGTACTCCTACAGATTGGTGACATCACGGCATCTGCACTCACAGACGTATTCTTTCAAGTAGATCAATTAGAGTATAGGGTATCATTGATCGGAAGAAGAAATAATTGCTATACCACTTAGAGTTTATCATCATGGTCGCGATTACTTCATTGATTAATTCATAAAAAAGGAAGATCTTTGCTCTTAACAGATGATTATAATTTCAGTTTGAATGAAAAAATCAACAACAATAAACTATTGAATACATACATTTAATGAGTATTCAGCAAAAGTTTCTACAAATTTGAATGATCAATTGATAAAAATGATTGATGATCAGTATCATTCTGCAAATAAAAAACTTGGACGCTACTCGCTACTTTCAGGTTGTACATTAATAACGTCTTGTTATAATGTATGAACTATTTTCATATTGAACTTCTGTAGAATTAAGTAACAAGATGATGAAAAAGTGTGATTAATAAGAGCGCCTACATCGTGTTTCACATTTTAATTTCATAGTACTTGCTCTAACAGTTTTTATTTTTTTCTCTTGACTTGTGTGTGATCTCTGTTATAAGAATATATTATCCCCTATAACAAAGAACGAATCTTGGTAGTTAGAATCGCCAGCTACCTTTATTTTGTCACATATACATTCAATTTCATTTGACAGTTTCTTTTTATAGTTAGTTTTTTGAAAAAATATTAAGTAAACAAATCATGATAGGCATCATACTCAGTAAATATAATGATATACACAATCAAACATAGATTTTGATATTGCAAATATACATAATGAAAATCTTTTTATAAATCTGTTTAATGAGAATCTAGGATTTTGAATATTCACTCAATATATTGGTTTGTTGATTGATGTTCTTCAACTGTATCTTCTGGATTAAGAATACATTGTTTTTTAATTAGAGAAAATAAATGTGCAACAAATAGAATCAGGGAAGGAGACAAAAGTGCTCGCATTATGGACACATGTGAAAATAGATCAAGTGAGAGAATCAGTACCGGTAGCTCGATTTAATAGTGCATAAATCCGGCGAAAATAACCGACCATAAAAATATCTATTCACATATAATGGTGATGAAAGAGAATTGAATATTCATGTGCAGAAATCCGAATTAGGAATAATCAACTTACATTTACCAAACTTTAAATAAATCGAAAAATAAATTTAAAAAATGGAATTGATTTTCAATTTAAATTGGATTTATATACATTGAAATTTTTCAAATTTATTTAAATCTAGTTTAAACCAATATAGCTTCAATTTAAATCAAATATAATTCTATTCAACTTCATTCCGTTGGATTTAAATCCTATTAAATGGGTGTACATTGAATTTAGATTGATTTAAACTGGATTTGAGTAAATTTAAAAGGCTTAAATAAATTTGAAATTTAACTTCGCAAAAATTTAAATTTAAAATAAGTTAACAGGCGATCGTCACCCCTAATCGGAACTGGAAACTAAAACTTGGGAATGAAACTGTCACTATCATATTTTATATCAAGGTGCGTGGACTTTTCGAGCCCGATATCTATACAAGTTAGCTACTCAGATCAAATCCCTTTTTTTCATCTTAAGAGCCAGTTTAGCATAAATCTAGCACAACAGTATAAATATTTATTTTTCATGATTTAGGCAGCTGTTTAAGTAGAATAACAAAAACAAATTATATGATCTAAGTTAAATTAAGCAGTACACGAGAAAGGAATCGATAAAGATATAAAGAGAACAATGAATTGTTTACAGTTAGGTGGATGACACAATATTCATCGAGTCTTTCGCAAACACATTCTTCTGACGTGAAAATATCATAAAAACACGTTTTTCAGTAGAGGAAATTCTTGGACACAAGCAACAATTTTTTAATGATGAACTGGCAAAACTCCGGTCCTGTTCGACTGGCTTTAACTTTTTGTCCGGTCCGGTTCGGTTTCAACTCTGAGTCATGTCATTCCAACATCCTGAATCCATAGAATGTTGGATATCCTTTTTCTCTTAATTAACCCAAAAACTTGTTCGCACTGTGAAGGTCGTCTGTTGGAGATAGTCATCATGTTTGGCTACCATGTTTGCTACGATAGTGACGAAAAAGAGACTTTTTCATCAGAGATTAAACACACAAATGTATGATTGCAGCAATTAGCGAATGAGATGGGTGTATTTTTTGAGACAAACAACATATCCATTTAAAAATATTTTTTTCTAGATTAATAATGTGATAAATACTATTTATATTGTACACTATACTTTGGTTCTTATCCAGATCAATGACATCCTACACTAATAGGCCCGTTTGACAATAGGGAGTGTCATAGAGTGAGGGCGTAGTTGTTGTTGCTCTTGCGCAACTTCTATAGTTTATTGAAAAACAATAATGTGAAATGAATGCTGATAAAAGTTGATGATAAAAAGTATTGTTGTCTTACAGAGTGACATTTTATTAATGTTATAAGTATTAAATTTTTTCATTTCATAATAATTATTGTAAATATAATAATTTGTTTCATTTAAATCATGAGACTATCTATTGAATATATTTGAAAACAATAAATTATTTTACTTATTACCGAAAAAAAAGTGCATTAAATAGTAATACCCAATCAAATGTATATAATGAACAATTTTCACTTTTTGTTTGATAATTATCTGTAAAATCTTTACAGTGAAACATAGAATCAATAACTTAGTTTTCATACTTAGTCCATTTAGTATGATAACGATTTACTTTTTGACTTTTAGTTTTTTTCTCATCTTTACGAAACTTCAGTGACATAACAAGAAACATAACTTTTATATAGCTAATAATTAAATAAAAAGTCCTCGTTGCTTATAATTCAGCATTTACATAAATGCAAGCCTTAATTAGCACCCTTTATTGAATATTTGAAAGAATAATAGAAGATACCTATGACAATTATAATGAGAGAACATCTACGACACACGGACAGAATATTTCAAATAAGAAAGAAATGCATATAGAAACCCATAATTGAACACCTCGGGAGATTTCGATGATATAAAAAAAGTTATCCTATCAGTTTATTTCTATCTGACACGTCGATTTAACAAAAGAAAACAGCTAGATAGTCATTAGCGTGGCTTTACGATTGAAGTTAGAGTTAACTATAAAAAGACCCAAAGAGCAAGTATCTGCGTAAAATATTTTAGATAAGGACAATAATTCTTTTTCTAATGGCGTCCGAAGAACAAACTATTGTTTTCATGACTTATTTCATATCTGTTTATTTGGGTTATTTCATTGTAATTATTGGTGTGATTGGAAATATAATCAATATTCTTGTTTTTACTCAATTAAAATTATTTCGCCGAAATCAATCGGCATTTTATCTTACGGTTGCATCCATTGTTGATTCTTTTCAATTAATATTTGCAATGTCTACTCGTATTACTGCAACTGTTATAGGATTTGATTTAACACGAACATCTCTTATTTGGTGTAAACTTCGAGTATATCTCATTCGGTCAACACGAATTATTTCCATCATAACTATTTGTTTTGCAGCTATTGATCAATATTTATCGACGAATTCTCATATTCAATTAAGACAATTGAGTACATTCAAATTGGCTCAACGTCTTATTAGTATTTTGATTATATTTTCATTTTTATATAGCATTCCTTTTTTGCTATTTCATGAAACCCGTCGCTATTCGGTTTGTGCAACATTTCATCGAATATTCAACTATTTTTATTCATTTGCTCATTATTTCATATTAGTTGGTCTTTTACCAATCTTTATTTCATCATTATTTAGTTTACTTGCTTATCAAAATGTACGTCGTATCATTAGACGTCAAATGTCAATAGTTCGTCGACGTCTTGATCGTCAATTAACTGCAATGATTCTTTTACGTGTGGCTTTATTTGTTATTACAACTTTACCTTACATCAGTTTTCGAATATATCAAATTAATACCTCTGTTAATTACCATTATACAGATTCTGTAGGAATTATTGAATTGATCAATGCCACTTTAATTACAATCTACAACATTGATTATTCGGTATTTGGCTATTGCTTTTGTATTGATCATTGGATTTCATTGTTTTTTTTGTAGGGCAGCTTTTTTGTTTTTTTGATATCATCAAGTCGATTTCGTCGTCAAGTAAAATATTTTTTCTATAGAAAAATCTGGCGAAAATTCCAGTTAATGAGAATGAAAAGAAATCAAGTTGCAAATGAAAATCAATTGCATATTATAGAATTCAATGAACAAAATCCCAATGCCAATTAAACAAATTTCATGCGGTGTTATGTCAGTACTCGAATAAGTGAATGAACTTTCACTATAATTAGTGAAAGAAAGATATTATTTTCAACTAGTTTTGTTGTGTCGTTGATCAAAAATCGTGATGAAACATTATCTGTGTTTTTTTTTCGTATTCATACAAATTTTTCTTCAGTTGAAATGTATCTGAATGCATTGTAAAATAAATTTTGATCCATATTAGATTCGAACTCAAGTGATATACCAACGATACATTGTCATACATATAGGCTATTGGACTGTACAATCTCGAAATATTTATTATAGAGAATAGGAAGAAATTTTCATTGATAAGATTACATTCGGTGAAGCTGAATTCATTTAATAAAAGAATGAATCTAATTACAATTTTCATCGATCATATCACTTGAAATTAAACATAAGTCGGATCCTACATACAAATCTTTGTGTGTCGATCGAACTGATCAATGAAAGGCAAACCAGGCCGACTGGTGTTTCTATTTGTTTTTAAATCATGGAAGTTCTATAATATTTTTGTAATTTATCTTTCTAGTTTTAGTTATATACTTAATTTATTCTTATGGAGATAGTATAATGAAAAGTTTTTAAACAAACTAGTGAATTAAAATAAAGAAATTAAATCATCAAAAATAATATTTTTGATATAAAAAATACTAGACTTATCGGAATGTTTCTAAATATATCAGCACTTGTTAGATATCATCAGAGAAAATTTAATTATGATAGAAACATAACACGTCATCAGATATCCAAGGAAGAGATAAGAGGGTGTGGGTGTGGATGTGAGCGTGGATGACTGTTTGAAGAAATAACGCACACTTATAATCTTAGAAAAACTTGAGATTTTGATAGCATGTTATGTTTCAATTTATATTAGAGAAAATTATATAAAATCCCACGTCGGCTAACAAATTCGGTCAGAGCAGGCCTTTTTACCTGGTTGAATATTATATGGGTGGACCATGTGAGACTGATCGCTCTGAAATTGATCGCATTCAGTAATAGAAAAAAAACACCATTTATATTGTTCTCTTTCATGTAATATAAACTAAAAGTTGCAAATGTCGAGTCTCTTCCTCCGAAATGAACAACAACTGAAAGATACGTTTCGATATTACAGCTATTTAAAAAAAACTTGCACCAAAGTAGAAATTTTTCTCTCATGCTTTTGTTTTATGAAGTAATTATAGGTTTTCAGTTATTGTTTATTATCAGATAGAACAGAAATAAACTATTGAAAATGAGTTTGTTTTTCTTTTTGAATATATAAAAATTAATATAGATAATCCTCTGCTCTTTAAACATATCTTTTGTCTATTCGTAGTACATTATTGAAGCAAAACCGTAGGATTAACGAAAATCGTGAAGCATGAAACAAAGATTCCTATGACAACTCGTTATTTCATAATATTAGCAAATCAAAATGAATAGATTTAATTGAATAATCAGATATGAATTAAAGAAATAAATAAAAATATGTAGACAATTCAAAGAGATGCAACATTCTATTCCTTTTTTTAAATCCCAAATTGCAAGATCTAGCATTGCACAGATCAAGAAATATGAGTCATTTCCGGCTGAGAAACTCGGAAAATGGTAAAAAATTGAAAACAGATAGTCAGTCAAGTGACTTCACTCAATTACAGTGAGTAAAGATTAGAATTAGAAAAATGTAGCTACTGGATCCGATTACAAAGTTTCTGACATTTTTCCAAGTTTTCCTGCGGGAACTCACGGATCCGGCCCACTGAAATCATTGATCCAGTTAATAGTTATCCTAATCTGACATATCTAGTCAGGCGTATATTATACATTGAAAAGAATATCAAAGGACTTAAGGGGGCCCCCTCAGAAATGAAGTCCCACTTGGAACCCTCCGTTCGGGCTGAAATTTTCAGGGATGATTGACCTTAGTGAGAAACTCTTGTGATAAAAATTTCAGCTTGACATGTCCGACTAAAACACAATTTCGGCTGAGTTTCCTACCTTTCGGGAGAATCGAAATAACTCGGTCCATGAGAAGGGATCAAGAGCTCGAGCTGGTTTCAAATTGTAGCTAGTCTCTGTACGCAACTTTTCATCGGACGGAATTTTGAAACTTCCTCCCATTCATTTTTTATGAGCAATTTTGTGAGCATGCTTGCAAAATAAGCATAAAAAAGTGTGATTCTACGACAGTAAATCCCACTTTTCTTAGTCCTGGGATGCAATATAAAAAATCCGTCCGATGAAAAGTTAGCTCTAATCAAGACCTTTAAAACAAAAAAAAACATCGGTGGTCTGCCGAGCCAAGCGGAAGTTATTTCAATTTTTCGGTCTAGAACCCATGTTTTGAGAAAAACGAAAAATAAGTTTTTAGAAACCTTATTTTTTTCAATATGGGGGTTCGGAAAAACCTATGTAATATCCTTAAATCTCATGATAAAATCAATCAACTATAGTGCATTCGAGAGTAGACACTTAGCTCTATCTAATGAGTTATAAATCACAAAATCGATAAATTTGACCAAAATTGACTTTTCTGAGGGGGGGGACTCTTAAATGCCTTATATTTACTAAAAAAAAAACTTTTAAAATATTGATGTTTTTTGGTATTTCTTCAAAGACGTGAAGGAATAAAATTTTAGTACAGTATAATATACTTTGTCGTCTGTCATTTGAGAAACAAAATAATTCAAGTAGGCTTGTATACAAAGAAATCGCTGCAAAACCGAACTATGCAAATTTTGTTTTTCAAACAGCTATATATTTATGAGAAAAGTTCATGTTTGACTTCAAATTTACACACTATTTATTATTCAGGATATCTAATCTTTCTATAAATACAACTAATTATTTTCCATACTTGTCTGAATGATTATTATCAAACATAAATGATACAAACTCAATAATAATTGAGCAACTATTTAGCTAGACTAGATCAAAAGAATTTTTCATTTGTAATCTAGTTATTTTTCATGAACTTTATAAGTGTTCAACATTAAAGATTGTGACAATAGATGGATAGTTTTGTATAAATTCTCAACTACTAATTGAAACATCAAAGTTAATACCTTGACTTTCGGCTCTTAATATTTCTTTCAAATATGCGGAATAATCAAAAATAATAACTTGCAGTCAGAAGTTTTCGAGTACTTTATAATTGTGTGAAAAAAAAAGTTTTTTTCTAATGAGATAACAGTGAAATCAAGTACTGAAAATGATTCAGCTATTTCCTGAGTTTTTCAAGAAGCTCTTCTACTCTTTGCTTTATAGAAAATCTGACTTTTAGAAAATGAAATACATTAATTAATGTTAAACACTAGAAAATGTCAAGCATAGTTTTTCGAACCTATTTAAAGCTTAACACTTTGGAAATATATTGACATAGTATGCAAAAAATTTTCCAGAAAACAAATAACTTGATTGAATACTGTAACAATTATTATTAAAAAAATTTTTCTTTTATAATGTTATGCAGAGAAGAAACTATTGATTTCATAACTAATATTATATCTAGTTATGTGGATTATTTCAATGTAATTATTGGTTTGATAGGTAATATTATTAATATTCTTGTTTTTACTCAATTAAAATTATTTCGACGAAATCAATCAGCATTTTATCTTATAATCGCATCTATTGTTGATTCTTGTCAGTTAATCTTAGGAATTGATTTAGTTTTTGATGTAACACGAACATCTCTTATTTGGTGTAAACTTCAAGCATATTTTGCTCAATTTATACGAATTATTTCGACAATCATTATTTGTTTTGCAGCTATTGATCAATATTTATCAACGAATTATTATATTCAATTAAGACCATTGAGTACACTCAAATTAGCTCAACATCTTATTGGAATTCTTATTATATTTTCATTTCTATACTGTATTCCTTTTTTAGTATTTCATGAAATTCATCCTAATACTGATTGTACAACATTTAATCCAATATTTAATTCTTTTTTCTCATTTTTTCATTACTCAATCTTAGTTGGTACTTTACCAATCTTTATTTCATCATTATTTAGTTTACTTGCTTATCGAAATGTACGTCGTATCATTAGACATCAAATGTCAATACTTCGTCGACGTCTTGATCGTCAATTAACTGCAATGATTCTTTTACGTGTGACTTTGTTTGTTATTGCAAGTTTACCACACACTAGTTATGAAATATATGAACTTAATAATCCAGTTGTTGATGATCATTCATATAGTGCAGTACTTAGTGAATTAATCGAAATCATTTTCGTTACAATCCTTAAAATTAATTATTCGGTATTTGAATATTGCTTTTATATTGATCAAGGAAATTTTTTTTGTTTTATTTTTTTAGGGTAGTTTTTTTATTTTTTTGATATCATCAAGTCGATTTCGTCGACAAGTTAAATATCTTTTTTATAGAAAAGTCAAATGCAATTGTTTGCCAATAAGAATGAATAGAAATCAAGTTATACCTGAAAATCAATTACAAAGTGTTGAATATATTCGATCAAGTACACCAATAAATTCATAAACTTGGGGCGACGATCATATAAATTTGGTAAAAACTGATGATATTAATAAGTCACAAATACAGTATAACAATAATAACATTGTAAAACTTTATGAACTTGAACTTTTCTTATTTATTGAAAAAATAAAATAATTGCTTAAGTACGATATTTAATTTTTTCATCAATATCCATTTTACACGTATTCTTGGAATTCAGTACAATAAGAAAGTAGTTGTGAGATACTATTGATATGCTGTTTACGATCGTATATCAAAAACGTCTGATACAGTCTATCCGGAGTTTCAAGGTTTTTGCGCTTTTAGACCATGTTTCATATAAAAAAGTAGTTATAGACTGGAAAACAGTATATAAAGTTAGAAGCTGGAAGAAATCCTACAAAAGTGTATTTCTTCGTACGTATTCTGTAATTGTAGCCGGTAAATATTCGTCAAGAAGAAAAAAAAAGAATATTCATATATATTGAAAATATAAGCTTATCAGAAGATTTTTTCGATTAAGATGGATTAATTAATTATCATGTGTACTGAATTTGTTTACATGCTTGCCATTTAAGCATTAAAATTCTTACAAATTGAATGCTTGTATCGTTAAGATACTAGAAAAGATAGATAGTTTCTTTATAGTGAATGAATGCTTTTGTGTCAAAAGAATTTGTTAGGTCAATTTACAACCTTTTCATCATTTTCGTTCTCTCTCTCTCTATTTAAATATATCTAATGTGTATGTTAATGCTGACAAATGTTTTAATGATCAATCTTCATTGAACATCTAAAAAAATCGATATTGTATGAAAACGCCTAAGACACAGTAGTTTTAATCCTATATCAATAGAAAAATACTGTAATCGCGTTGAATAAACACTGATAGCCTTTAAGTTCTGCTATTGATCATTATTTATCGATCATGTACTATACTTAATTAAGACAACTATGTTCTTTCATATTCCCTTAATGTCTTTTTAATATTCTTATTAATTCAATATTCATGTTACTTTTATCCATTCATTTATTACTGTATAATAGTTAACATCTTACCAATCTTTATTTCGTCATTTATTTTGTTTACTTGGTTATCGAGATGTGTATCGTTTGGTACATTGTTAAGTAAGAAAAATTCAACACCAGGTTAATCAACATATAAGTATAATGATTCTCGTACTACGACCAATTCGGTTCTGTCAACAAGTAAAATATTTATTGTTCAAAAAAAAGTAATCTAGCGTAGATATTTATCGAACAAGCATTAAATACAGCAGTTGATTCATGAAATAAAATACTTTTGCGTGTAGGAGTTCTAAAATATAAATATGCAGATTAAGAAAAATGGATACATGCGAATATTTTTTATTTTATATCTAAAATAACACATGCAGACTGCGAAAAAAACGATGCGATATGTGTGGAACACTTTAGAAAAGGGAATAAACTAGCTGTGACTATTTAAAAGAAAACAATATTCGACATTAGCAAAAGCACTTAGTTTAACATCTTGTCGTTTGTTTTGTGTTAATAATTCGCAATATAAAAATCAAGTCACCGACAAACACTTGCAACTTAATAGATCTAGATTGTGAAAGACAAACTGAAAATATTTCTAATAATAAACACTTTTGACCGGTCCTAATGGTACCTATATGAAAGAGGTTTTACAATAATTACATGACTAGTAGTTTTATCTTCATATTATCTTGACAGATAATGCTTTTTTATTTTTTTTCTTCCATCGTAAATATGAATTGAAAACATACGGATGCATTTGACTCATCATGTTATTGATTTTTCTAATGATTATTAATATTCTTTTGATTAGACGAAATAAATTTCTTTTGTAACAGCAATGCCAACATTATATATATAGTCAATTATTATTTCTTGCTATTCACAATTTTAATGTTCTTATTCAATTGTTTTCATTTGTGAAATTTCTTTAAGTTTGTGATAAATTCTAAATAGAACTGTAAAGACGTATTTGATGTGATTAAGTGTTCATACACATTCATTTTGATATATTTTCTAAATGAGATCAATGAAGTACTTATTATTAAGCATATAATTCTTCTTTTGCACATAAACTAAAGTCCTTTCAGATGTTTTTTCTTTAATTGGATTTCTGAAGGAAAAAAAAAGTATTCTTTCAAAATGATGCTAATGAGATTTTTTTTTAAAATGTAATACATAACTCTTAATTCATATTTCATAATGTCCCTATCGAGGTTTGTATTAAAATTTACTTGATTGAAAAATAAAATATATAATACATTGAAGATTCTTATAATTGATCAATTTTCGTGTGCTTCGTTGGTATCAAATATTAATTTCAATGTTATTAGAATAGTTTTAAACATACAGAAATGAATATCAATTGTTCTGATTTTGATAAAGAAAAATTATCAATTTCTGTATCACTTAATATTACACTGTTTGATCAATCTCTGTGTGAAATTTGGAATAATGTTTGAAATCTAAAATAACGGAAATCGCTGCTTAGAAATTCATTGACAATGAATGAAGATCGTTTTTTTGTTTAGAACACAATCCATGGTTTTATGTTTCGCATGTTAATTTCATAATTAAGCATGAATAAAATTGTTACAAAACACCATTGTTCTTACTTATCCTTAAGTAACCTTTCAAAAAGAAATTCACTAATTTCAATACCAAGATTTAAAAAGGCAACAAGTTAGTCATGTTCATTGCTTCTTGTGATATCAGTAGAACTCTTTCCTAAATTGCACTTCTATTCATATCATCATCTTTCATTCTATAATTAACTATTTATATCTATAGTTATTAATAAAATTTCATATATATATCGTTTTTTTTTTCGGGGAATATTTACTGTTTGATATAAATTAATACATGTCATATGTAGCAACATATTTAATTACTCAATCACAAAAGAAAACAGAAAACTGTCAAGCGTGTATGATTATCATAAAAAGTTCAATAGCAAGATGATTTCACAAAAGTTCATTTTTTTGTTTTAACAACAACAACAACTAAAAAAGAAAGAAAGTTACAATTATACAATAAAAAATTATGTTAAAATTATTTTCTTACCGATAATAATTGCGATAATAATAGCGATAACAATACCAAGAATAACCCACATCTATAAAAAAAAAAAAAAGAAAATATTCAATATACAAAAATAAAGTCATTGAATAATACAAAAATAAAAGAAAACCTTACTCGACAATTTTTCCACCAAAACTTGCTTTTAAGTTTTTGTGAATGAATAGCAAATTGTCGAGAACCTTCATTTAACATGTCTATATAAATATTAAAAACAATTTTCAACTACATTCATTTTTCTTATAATTTATTACCTGATTTGTATTCAAGATCATCAAGTTTTCCACCACGTTCTAATTCTAATTGAATATTTTTTTTCATAACACCAGTAACCTAATCAAAACAAAAAGAAAACATTGTTAAATATAAAATAATAAACATGTTCATATTTTATCTATACTTCATCAACTTGTCCTTGTAATTTTTGAAGACTTGCTGGTGGTGTATAACGGACACTATCCGATTGATAACCTGGATTAGACATACTTACAGCCCTTTATGCAGAAAAAGAAAATAATTTCTTTTGTTACTTAAATACTATTATTCTTACATAGTGTATTGTTTTACACAAGACAAACTTCTAAATAAAAAAGAGAAAAAAAGAGAGAATTTTGTGTTTGTTTGCTGATTAATCATGAGATTTTTATCAGTGTACGACATGATATTTATTATCTCAAGTGACGAGCACAACAAAAAAAGAAAGAATGAAACCACTGATTGTTGTTGTTGGTGCAACAGGTCGACAAGGTGGAAGTGTAATCAATGCATTAATTAATTCGAATAAATGGACAATACGTGGTCTTTCAAGAAATGTTACATCAGAAGATAGTCAAGTAAAATTTATTACAAACAAAAAAGAATAATTAGATTTTTGTTTTTCATTTAATTTAAATTTAGAAATTAATTGCAAAAGGTGTTGAAATGATATCGTGTAATGTAAATTCGTTAGATGAATGTTTAGAAGCCTTTAAAGGATCTTATGGCGTATTTGCTATGACTAATTTTTGGGAAAGTGGTGCAACTAAAGAATATGAACAAGGTATGAATATGGTCAATGCAGCACGACAACAAGGTGTAAAACATTTTATTTGGAGTAGTTTACCTGATACAATGGCTATTTCTAATGGGCAACTTGATTTACCACATTATATGTAAGTAGAAGTGATCGTATAGTTTAATATTAGTTTTGAATTATATTTAATAGAGTAATAGTATTTCAATTAAAATAGTATTACTATATTTTATAGTTTAATGTAATAGAAGTTTTCATGAAAATTTTTTGCCAGAAAAATTAATAATCTTTGAAATATTTTATGAACTTTATAAAAAACAAATTGATCTCATGAAGATAATCCTTTCATTTATTTCTTATCAAGTTTTTAAACAAAAGCGGTTAGCGCAAATCTTGCGGAGGTGAAATATTAAACATGATTTAGCTGCTTTTGCTAATCACAGAGACATTGTTTTAGTTTATGTATTTTGAGATACATTTTTTTTTTATCATCGTATTACTTAATCCTTCAGAAATGCAATCTATAGTACGAGAAAGTGTTGTTAATGTGTCTGTGATAGTTTCTGACTAGCGTCTCCCATGTTTTGCAAACCGCCGGTTCATCTACTTGATTATTTTTTATATCTCGCTGCATGAATATTTTTAAACACAAGCGTTTTCGATTACTTTCATCTGCATGGAAACAAGGCCTACTGATGGGCAACATAGCAGCTCAAAAGGATACGAACGCCAGAAAATGTTCCTTCATCAGTGGTTACATAATAACTTTGTTATATGAAGTGATTTGATCTTTCTTGTAGATTCTGCACATAAGAACTTTCATGTCACTTTATCTGATATACAATAACATAGGAAAATAAATAAACAAAACTGTTATAAATCACGATTTTCTACTAACAGATCCGAAATGAAATATATGTTTTATAAATATTGTTTGGTTCACAGATAAGATTTATTTTGTAAATTTCGACACAATTCTGAAGATGATTAACAAAATTAAATTATAAAAAAAAAAAAGGATAATTTAAATTATTATTATTATAGGATGAAAGCTCGTATTGAATCTTATATTCGTTCTCAACAAGACCCACCATTATTTCCTTACACAACATTTATTTATGTTGGTTTTTATTATCAAAATTTTCAAACATTTTTTCAACCAACAAATGATTTTGAATTTCGTGTTTTACTTCAACCAACTGCTCGTCTTCCTCTTTATGATGTTCGTGATACAGGTCCTGTTGTTGTACAATGTTTCGAACATCCTGATCGATGGGGACAAGGAAATATTATTCCAATTGTTGCTGAACGATTAACAATGGATGAAATATGTGAGACAATACGACGCGTTACAGGAAATAAAAAAATTCGATATACACCATTAACATATGATCAATGTATTGGACAAGCAAAAGAAACACTTGATAATATGAGATGGTATAATGAATATGGAGATGTTGAAGAAAGACATGCAGAAAAAACAAAACAAGTTTATAATCAAATGAAAACATTAGCAGAATGGATTGAAGAAACAAAATGGTTGATGAATAAAAAAACTGAACAATAAATTGAATGAATCTTTTTTTGTTAACTTTCTTGATCAGGAGATTTTTCAATATCTTCTTCATCCTCATCATTATCATCATCATCTTCGTTTTCGTCGTCTTCCTCATCCTCTTCTTCATCTTCATCTTCATCTTCATCTTCATCTAAAAATAAATAAGTTAATAAATAGATAATTTAATAAATAAAGCAAACCTTCATCACTTTCATCATCGTCATCTCTTGGTGCTCGTTCTTCAATAGATTTTCCACCAAACGTAAAATTTTGACTACCTTCACCACGTATAAAATAATCACAACCACTATTGATACCTAAACCATCATCATCTTCGTAATCATTTTGAACTTTTCTTCCATAACCATAAGCACGGGCTTACAAAAAAAAATAGAAATATATTTTTTTTGTAAAATTTTGGTAAACTCTTTACTTGACATTGATAAATCTTTCGTTTCTTTTGTTGGAAAATTACATTTCGGACATGGAAATGCTTCACCTTGAGTATATTTAAAACCACGTCGTCTAATATGTTCGTCACAATAACATACTTTACATCTGTTAAAAGATTTTTAAAAAATTATTTCACTTTTTTTTTAAATTTAAATTTTACCTTAAGCATGACCATTGACCATGTTTACTACAAGATGCGCCTAAATATTTAGAAAACTATGACTATTAATATATATTGAAGTCTATAAAGAGAAAATTGAGTCGTTATAGTTCGGAATGAATTAAGAAAATATTTTCGATCTTGAATAGAATATATATTCCTAATGTAGAAGTAATTGGTAAGAAACGTATGAGCTGATGGAAGGTAAACATCATTCTTCTGAGTTCAATTGAAAATGAACTCATCTAATAGAGCAAACATTTATGAGGTAACAGAGACGTTCTCCATATTTCTGTGATCTTTCTTCATCAAACTGCAGTGAATCTAAAAAACTATAATGAAAAAATTATCCATCGGCTTTGGGTTCATTCTAAAATTCACTACAGATTGATGAAGAAAGATCATAGAAAGCTCGATGAGATCGATGTCTATTCGTTATTTTTCAAAGAAAATCGATGTTAAAAATAGCAGTGACACACTAAAAATCGAAACTATTAATCATAAGAGACAGATTCGATTATCACATATTTCAAAATATAAGATATTCTATGATAGATATTCATGTTTTATATTTAAGGTTCTTACATTTATAATTTTCTGACTCTAATACTTGACATGATGCTTGATGTTCAAATTGATCATCTTCACAAAGAAATTGATTACAAAATGAACATTGAAAAACTCGTCCACCTATTTCAAGAAACAATACAAAAGAAAACGGAATATATTCTATTTGAATAAATGTTATTTTTACCATGTTCCCAAACGCTTCGATTACATTCAATACAATCACCATTTTGTAATGGACATTGGCATGGATGTGTTGTTAAACATTTTTTTGAATGACATATCCATGCTTCACAAAAATCACAAATAGCACCCTAATAATACATCAATATATAAAAGAGAATTAAATTTAATAAACTCCCCACCTTACCACTAACTGAAGACCTGTAGCATGTATACTTCCATGTTTAACAAGACAATCACCTGTTTTCGATAGACATTTTTGTTTTCCTAAAAATGAATAATATATATATATATTATCCAGTTATTCATTTGTTAAAAAGCATACCACATTGTGCACATACAGGTAATGCTTGTAATGCTTGACAAAAGTAACAAAATGCACGATTTTTCTGTTGTTTTTTGCATTTATCACAATCCTTGAAATGAAGATAAAAAATTAATAGATTAGTTGAATTTTCATAAATTCAAAAGTATTTTGTGTTTTTTTTCATGTTTCTTCGTATTGATATACAAACCATAAGAAAATTGCAAGGCCATTCAACTAATTGTTTGTTATAGAAAGCTGATTGTAAAAATTTCTGTCGTTCTTTTTGTTTCTCAGCTTTTTTTCGTTGTCCGGTTTTACGTTTCGGCATTATATCTGAAATAAAATAAAATAATATCACAGTATATCATTCTTTTCTGAAAAGATGAATACTTATCCAAATTAAGTATTCATATTATTCTTTGGCAATATCGGCAGCGAGTCTACGTAAAAACCGGATCAAGCGAATGTAAGCTATTGGTTGCATAGTATAATCAATCAAGTTATACAGGTTTTTTTAAAACATTCATATTCATTTTCTTATTTAATTACATTTTAAAATTAACTGTATGAAAAAACAACGATATTTTAAAAACCGATGAAATCGAGAGATACATCCTTGAGAGGACGCCACAAGTTCAACGAGCTTAATTTTTTTTGTCATTTGAATTCTCGTAGTGATAACAACATTTCTGAGAAAGGAAATCTTGTCAATCAAGTTTTCTAGATGATTTTTGATGAATTCTGACTCACGTTTTTCATGACTAGAAGATCTACGTTCTGACATCCATTCTAATTGTTGATCTCAATTCAATGCTTATTTCTGTGAGGTAACATTTATTACAATATTTCTTTAATCAATTATCATCATCAGCAACGAAAGTATTTATCTTTTAAACAAATCCTTTTAAGGCTCATTTCATATACTTTACGATTCGACCTTATTGTTTCAGACGAAATCAGTTTTAATATGAAACAAATTTCTATAACAAATTTATCGATCCAAAAAACTGAAAAACCACAATTATGAGTCATGTATCCTTCGATAATTCATTGTAATTAGAAACTTATAATTCTTAATCATTACCATTGGCGAGGAACTAGCATGAATCAGAATCAATTTTTATTTTGAAACTGAATATTTGTTTGCGGCTCGTAATTTGCTTCTCTAATGGATAGCACAAGTCTATTGATTGTTGAAGAATAAGTCAATAGAATAGTTATAGAACGCTACAATGAACAAAGCATAAACAAACAGAAGATACATGAGAAATATAATTTCAAATTATTCTCTTTCGAATTAAACTTATGCAATGCTATCGAGCACTGAGTCTAGTCTATATTGCTCATTTTTATTGATACTTATGACTTTAAAGATACAAAAAAAGCTGGTTTTGGATATTGGCTTAGGTAAGTCTTCTTTTTATCTACAACTACACTCCTATCGAATCAGCATACTTCATTTTAATTTTTGAACTAACCAACACATTCTTTTTTGCTCCGTTTTGTGCATATGAAAAAGATCTTATATTTCACACTCTAGTATAATTATCTACAAAAATCACTTTCTCCTATTCAAGATAAGCAAAAAAAACAGAATTTTTCTTTCCATCTATCAAAAGTAGCAATACAGACAGTTTTTTTTCCAACTTTTAAATATTGTTGTTGTAAAAGTAATAGATATTGAATCGAGTCCATTGCCTTCTTCATCCAATGATTGTTGACATTCCGCTTTAACAACACCGTCTCGTTCTTTCATCCAATATGTCGATGTTTGAAAGTCTATGTATTCATTTCTCTTTGACCATTGTCGTTGTTCCCAATCACATGCATGTAAATGAAATTTTTCAACTTTTACTAAGTATCTAGATAAGAAATATTGCCATTTTTGACAATCGATTAGTGTTATTGGAGATGACGTAATAAGAAATGATTTTAAATTTGGTGTTCGTTTAAAAATTGACTCGAGATATGTAAATGTAAATCCCCAATTAAAGTTTACCACAAGATTAGTAAGGAAATCAACTGTCAGTCCGTCATTGAGAAAATCCTGTTGTGGTGGATTATCATAAATCGTTGCTGTCAATGATTTTACTCTAGGTAAGAATGACGGTGACAAAATACAATCGAATTCATCGAAATAGAGTTGGTAGATATTTAAATATTCAATGTTAGTTGTTATCGGTTGATTAAATAGTGGTACATTGTGCGTTCTTTTACGTGAATCATTATGATCCATTATAGCAAATTTCAATGTTTTCAAATGAGTACAAGAATGAAATATTATTTCATAGGTACGTCGAAGATCATCTGCAGTTAATTTCGACTGAAATAAATTAAAAGCAATACTCAAGGATGTTAAATAAGTCAACAGTGGCAATTGATCAATGATCATAGGAAGATCGGTTGTCGTAATGATCAATCGTAAGCTTAACGAACGTAATTGTCGAAATAATTTTAATGGATATTGAATGAAAAATTCTTGTTTTTCATGTTGATCTTCCTGTTCAAACGTAATATATTTTAATGATTTTATGGATAATATTTGCCGTTCATTTAATTTCGTGATCAGTTTATATTTTGTTGAGGACAAATCTAAATGTATATTTGATAATTGAGCTAAATAACCATCAATTCGCCGATTTAAATGAGCGAACGTATTGTATAATTCAGTAAAATGGAAAAAATCGAATAGTTCAAAAAATAGTTCACTTGATAGATCTTCAAAAACAGTTTTACGGTTTAGCAATAGTATATCAAGAGTGTATTGCATTTTTCTCGACGATTAAGGGCTGTTTGTTTCTTGTTGCTGTTGTTGATGCAATAGTAATGGATAAAACTATAGAGACAACGCTGACTGTTTATAGGCAAGCGTCAATATACTACGACAGGAGCCAACGCTGGTGTATTAGGTTCGAGTTTTTTTCTTCGATTCTACCATTAAAAAAAGACAGTTATTCTACTGCATTCATATATCTGTAGTTGATTCTCACATTTCTTTTTCTGTCGTGTGCCATGCGTCGACAACAAATAACGAAAAGAAGCGAAGAAAGAAATAAAGTAACGAAGGAAATAAAAAAAAAGTGTTGGCAATAACATTTTTCTTTGCATGAATCATCGATTGACTTCATCTGCTTTGGATTGCCATTCGTAGAACTTATCGATGTGAAGCTATTACAAACACCAATACTATGCAATACTCATACACATCCAATCAAAACACAATCCATACTTTACTTTAGTTTATCCAGCTTTTATTGAGGAAAAAAAAGAGAAATCATGGTGCACTCGACGGTTTTTTAAAATATCATTTTTCCAGAAATTTCCTACGCTGTCTATTAC